CCCTCCTAACTTCCCCTAGAATTGAGAATTCTATTATCTCGTGGTCACTATGCCCCAGGCGTCCTCCAACCTTCACATCTCCCACAAGACCTTCTCTGTTCACAAACAGCAGGTCTAGGGGAGCACCTTCTCTAGTCGGTTCACTGACTAGTTGTGATAGGAAGTTGTCCTCCACACTCTGCAGGAACTGCCTAGACTGTTTCCTGACTGCCATGTTATACTTCCAACAGACATCAGGTAGGTTAAAGTCACCCATAAGGACAAGGGCTAGTGAGCACGAGACTTCCCCCAGTTGTTTAAAGAACAGCTCATCAGTCTCACTGTCCTGATAGGGTGGCCTGTAGCAGATTCCCACTACAATATCTGCCTTCATAGGCCCCCCTTTGATTTTCACCCACAGACATTCTACCAAGTCATCCCCAACATTTGACTCTAAACAGTTTAGACCTTCCCTTACATACAGGGCAACCCCACCACCCCTTCTACCTCTCCTATCCTTCCTGAAGAGCTTGTAGCCATCCATGGTAGCACTCCAGTTATACGAGTCATCGAGGATGTTGAAGTAATATTTTTATTCTGACTCTGTAATGAGTGAAAGCCCCAGTGTGATGGTGTGGCAGCCTGACGTTCTAGCTTCTTAGAAGCCCTGAGAAGATAAGTGTTAAAATTGAGATCATCAGAAATACCGTGGTGTTCATACAAGGGCAAGAGAAATTAGTGCTGATTGTGATTTAATTTCATTGTGGGCTTTCTCCATTATCTGTTCCTCTGAACCTGAAATCTTGTGATTCGGGGTGAATATGCTATCCTTTCCCAGTCTGCATTGTTTTGGATCAGTTGCTATGTCTCATGATATGTAGTTGGTTTTCCATGTATAACTTCACGTGTGTTTGTGACGTGTTTTGAGAAGACATGCTACATACAATTCGTCATATGATTAAAATGGAGCCGATTGCAGACTCGATTTAAGCTCTTGTATTAACAGTGTTTTGTTATCTGGCTTTGTAGTTGCTGGTGTCTTAGGTTTTGCCGTTGGAAAGGTGTCATACATAGGACAATGCCTAAAAAAGTTCCAGAAAACTGGTGGTGTAACATTTGGTCCACAAAAAAAAAGGTTTGTGCTTATTTAAATCATTAATCCTAGATCAAAATATTTGATTTATAAAGACTATAATAGTAAAAATAATACACAGCAAAACAGAATTTAAATTTTGTGATCAGGTCATGAAGTACTACTCATATTCTTAGGCTATATATGACAGTATTAGAAACTACTAAATATTTTTCAGAAAATGCAAATTAAACTCAGTGTAATACCTGTCATTAGGAAATCCATTCTTTAAATAAAATTATGATACTTTATAATGTGATGGAACAACAGTTACTAGTTCTCTTTTCATCTAGTATTGTGCCTCTAAGTGTCTCACGATCTTCTATGATATCACTCGGCTCTTTGAGTCCTCCCTTGTACCGTACATCCGGCCAAATACACTGGACATTTTTTTTACACTATCATATTTTAACAACAATTTCAATCTCAGCCTGCATTCCAGCCTCCTGTGCTGTGGCTTTGCCCAACCTCGTACTGTCATGCCAAACCATGAAGGGCACAAACTGCAAGGGGATTTGTTTCCTCCTTGCAACTCAAACCATATGATAGATCTCAGTGGTTGCCTCTTGTCACCTGTCACCTCTGTGTTTTAGTCATTGCTTTCTAAGCTTCACATAAAGTACTCTTTCATGTCAAATCACATTCTGACTTCCTTCCAGGCTCCTCCTTCAACTGCCAGTGCTACTTTTAATTTCCATTATGACTTCTTATATGCACCTTTCACATGCAAAATGCATTTCCAAAAATCCTACCCACAAAATCATTCTCCTATGTCTTTCCACATCTTCCTCCAGACCACTTCCATTCTTCCCCCACATAACAAAGCTATTATTTTCCTCACTTGGTGTTACACAAAGTGGCTATTTGTCGCTCTTTTGTATTATACACCTTGCCTCTAACTCTGGCAAGGACTGTCTTTTCCTGCTTAGAAAACCTTGCTGTATTTTGGTGATTGCTGGAAGTGGTAGTTGAGAATAATGATTAACAGTTTTATTGGTTGAGATATTTAAATGTCATCTTTTGCAGTTTATGTCCCATGAAGCAGTTAAAACAATTGGAGAACATAGGCAAGAGATTATTTCTTCAAGAACATTTGCCAGCATGCTGTATGGTTGTATTAGAAGAAATCCAGCAAAATTCTTGAGTGTTTTATCTGCTTTCAATATTGCAGGCATTGTCCTCATACTTGGAAAGAATGTGAAGCAAAGTTGCGATCAAATGAGAAAGAAGGTTCAATTCCTTCAGCATTTTAGTCCCAGGTAGGCAACCTTGAAATTTAAAACAAATTCTTACTTTATTTTCCATGTTGAGTGGTATTCTTGTTTGAAACCTTTGAACAATATCGTGAAAATCATGGATTAAAATCTGAGCAGTATTCAAGGAAATATTCTCTATCTATGATTTGTAATTAATTTTTTTTCTTTATTTTTACTTTACAGACCTTTCATGCTAATTTTAAATCCCTCATTTCTGAGGAATTTCTGCTTTAGTGGTAGCAGAGTATTGTTTATTCACTTAATTGAAATTAATTTGGATTGACTACTTGTATGAAAACAAATATAACTCCTTTCAATTTCCAACTTTTTTACTTAAGAATCAAATAATTATGGATAATGTTGATATTTAAAAATACATTGAAATATGGAGAATCTAAAAGCAGCCCCCAGTTGGGTCTGGGTTAGTTTGTTTGTTTCTTTGCTGGTGGTGGAGGATTTTCATCCAGTGCTATGGTTTGGCCCAGTCCTTAGTGAGGGTAGTATAAGAGTGAGTGATGCTACAGCAGCTACATCCTGGGGCAGGGGAGACAGCCTGTCTGATGTTTTCACCCCAGAAAGGGAAAGTTTGCTTTGTGAAAAAGGAGAGTTTAAGGGATGGAAAGCAGGGGAGTATTTAAAAGGCCTTTCACTCTTCGTCAATGAAAAACAGGCCAGCAGCTGGGCCTTTTAAGAGCATTTTCACACATTCTGCTTGTGGTAAGCTGTGGCCTACATTTCTCACAGGCAGGAGAACGTGTGAAAGTGTTTGCAAATAGCTTGGCTGCCTGCAAGCAGGAGAGCAGAGGGCCTGTTTGAAATCCTGCCATGTGAAGTTGTTACAGCTCTAACTGTAGCTTGAAATAAAAGCCTGGTGCAAAAATTGCTGGATTGAGTCTCTTTGGCATATATTACGTAGGAATTTAGACAAGGATGTTGATAATGGTCCCTTTCTTGCTCTGAAGTGCATGGCTGCAGACAATCTATAAGGAGGATTATCCTAGCAGAACCAGTTTACATACCCAGAAGAGAGATTTTGATGGATTTTTACTCCGCAACAATACGTTATGGCAGTAAGGATTGTCCTGAAAGAAGTCATTAGAATAAATTCCTAGTTTTAATCACCTTTGCCACTGCTTGAGTGTTTTATATGAAGAGCTCCAAGTGCTGAGCCACTAGCAGAAAATGCACTTTGGCTTAGCCTCACCTAGTAGGGTTGCTGCCAAAACGGGCAGTGCGTCTCGTGTGCCAGCTGTAGGGATCATGAAGCATTGTGGCCCTCCAGAGCTTGCTGCTCTCCCTGGGTATCAGACCCATAAGGAAAGGGGAGAAAAAATAGTCAAACCTTTCTGAGGAATAACTTGCTAGTGCCAGCACACAGGAGGGAATGAGCCAGACTTAGATAACTGTGAATGAATGACACCCTAAATCCATTAGCAGTTGTAAGCTTAATTAAGCCCTGTGTTACTGTGCTGATTAACTGCTTTTGAAGACTTTCTCTTAAATAAATGTTTGCTTATGTAGGCCAGTATCCTCACCGATTTCAAATAAGGACCCCAAAGCGTGTTTGATCCAGGATGGTCACTTACTAGCAATTACACGTGTAGTGGAAACAAATGTTGATGGTGGGATTTACCTCCACTGTTCGTAAGAGCTGGAAATTGCTGTACCTTAAATCCAAACACATTTTCTTTTTCAGCTTTTTCCCTCTTTCAGCCTTCCTCTGAGAGATTACAATTTTTTTTTCTGGTGTATAAGTACCAATTAGTATTCAAATAAATTCCAAATTGTCTCAAATACAAAGGAGTCTTGCAGCTGTATGAAGGGAAGGATGCAGGACACCACAGGCCCCTCCTGTTTGTTTTGCTCCCGCAATGTGTCCTGCAGTTTCTGCTGTCAAACCTGTTCCCGGTTTCAGCTCACATATTCATCAAATACCTCGATTGCTGTACTTTTTACCAGCCATTTAGATCTTCTTGTTTGTTTTTTAAAAGGGCTAGAAAGCTTACTCAGAAACCTAGTGTGAAAACAAGTGTAAGACAAGTGTAGTTCTTTCACATTTTACTTGCTGGAAGGAAAATGCCATTATATTTGAGCCAGTGTGGTATCTTGAATTTGCCAGAAATTGGTTTTGATGGACAGGTTTTAGAAACTTAGGAAAATAAATACTATAAGCATTGTGTTGTTTTCTGTATTGTTAAACAGTGAAAATAATGACCTCATGACCTCTTTTATGTTTTAATAAAAATTCATAATTTAGCATGCTATGCTCTCAATGTACAGAGATCCTACTGAGTGCATCTCACCACTATCCATGCTAAGCATACATTGCAAGCTCTGGCGTTGCCCAGGAGGACCACAAAGATAAAATTATACTCATGTTGATGAGTCCAAAGGTAACATCCATAATTTATGCTCAGGGACTTGGCAGAGTTCTCAGAGAAATCACCGAGAAGCTGCACATTTCACATTGAAAACAAGGTGCCACTCAGATAAATAACAGGTCCTTTCATTCCATTTACAGATGCGGTGAAGATGATAAAAATCTTATGGATCAGCTGCTTTTTTCAAGGCTTTATTCAGTAGAGAAGAAATAATGTCTTTGGTTTGATGTAAATCAGCTTATATAAAGTAGTTGCATAATGGTACATAGTTCTGTTCGTATTAAATAGCTGTTCCTTATAATGCACTTTTTGATTTTTCCTCTTCTCTCTCTTCTTAGCATGTTTTGGTTTATTTTCCTCCCTTCAGTGCAATTCAGCTCTTAGTGCTGAAAAATTAGGTTTGTCTGTTGTACTTAGATGCTGACAATACATTGTGCAGCCAGCAAAACGGCATACACTGGAATGTTCATCTTCTATGTCAAAAAGAAAGAGTGCAAGGATGTTTAAATAATTCTGCACAGTTAAGCAGCTGTTCGGATTCCGAGCTGAGTCCTTGTTTATGGAGTATTTTAAGAGTAGTAAGCCGGAAGTGCATTAGGGTATTGTCACACTGTAGTTGCTGTGCTGAACCAACTTTTAATAGGCCATTTTTACATCAAAGTCCACTTCGCCAGGGATATCAAAAGTGGTTGCCACTTCCATAATGAACAAGAAGATACAATGTTTCGGAACGGTTTATGGTCTGCGTGCAATCCAAAGCCAGCAGATACTGAGAGAAAAAAAAATGGCAGGTGCTCTCTACAAACAGCGTGACACACAAACTTCCATGAAGTATCTCAGGAAATCGAGAACAGACACTTCCCATAAACACAGTGATGGTGTTCACATGGAAATCAAATGTATGGCTACTGACGAGCTCGGGCTTTACTGTCAGTTGATGAAGCCTGTCTTCTGTGGGGTTTTTTGTGTGTTTGTTTTTATGCTATGCATATGGTTAGTACCCCTCTTTTAAACCATCTTCCTTGGGATTTTTTACCTGGGCACAAGGAGATTCTGCAAGGAGGATATATGGAATGTAACAGTATAAAGTAACTATTAATTGGTTACTACACACAAAAGACATCCTGGATTTAACAGGCTATTAGGATACATCCTCACTACCCTGGTAAGGCACTAGGAGAGTCTTTCCTAGCCAGGCAGCCACCAGGAGGAGAAGGGTTAGACTGTGGGAAACTACAGCAGGTCTGTGGATCCCAGGACAGAAGATGAAGAAATTGACCTTGGAGAGATTGCTGTGTACCCCTGAGAGCTGAATATTCCCTGAACAGAAGAAACAGAAACAACTTGCAGGCACTGGGAAAGTCAGGAAACCGTAAGATAAAAAGGCACTGTAAGATAAAGCCTTGGATTAGTTTCTACGCTAACTACATGCTATAGGACAAGGGGAAATGGATATAAGCCGGAACATAGGAGGTTCCACTTAAACACGAGGAAGAACTTCTTCCCAGTAAGGGTAACAGAACACTGGAACAGGCTGCCCAGAGAGGTTGTGGAGTCTCCTTCTCTGGAGATGTTCGAAACCTGATCTAGGTGGTCCGGCTCCTTTGAGGTCTCTTCCAATCCCTAACATTCTGTGATTCTGTGATTCTGTGATGAATTTGGCTTGAAGTGTATAGAACGCGTGATCACCAGACATTCACCAATCACGTATTAGGCTAAGGCGCGTGGACAGCTGTAGTTAACCAATCACCTAATTACTTATGTCGCGTGCGCTGTTAGAAATTGTATAAAAAGGTATGTAAAACGTGCAATAAAGGCTTATGCTGATGAATTCTACTTGAACCTGTGTCTGTCATGGCCGTCTCTGCAGTGCTATACCGCGACATTAAACTAGCCTCCCTAGTTTTTGTTCCTTGAAGATCTTATACCTTTCCAAATTAGTGTTTTCCCTCTTGAATTCTTCAGCTACTAAGAACCCCTGTCTTAACCGGGGCTGTAATTTTATACTTTTTACCTTTCTACAGAATTTTCCACAGCTCTTTCTCAGCAGTCCGAGTCAAGAGTACAAGCTGTGCCGTATCACAGGTGATGCTTGGTGTGCAGGCAGGTGAGCCTTGGGAAGCCTTCAGCGGGGCTCCAGGGAGAGAGGGTTACACCACCACAGAGAAGTCAACCTCCTTTGTGAAAACAATGTAATTATCACAGGTGTACTCTGATAGCCAGCAAAACTTGTATGAAAACATATATTATTTCCCCTTCATCTGACATCTGCTGTCAAGGTAACAGCAACAAACTGCACCAAGGTTAGTCATGCCTGGGTTATCTGAAGTAAGCCATTACATCCGTGCGATGCCAAGGAGATTGATGCACGTGACCTTTCATATCAGACTCCCAGAGGTTGTTCTTGTGGTCAGTGTTACCTCCTGGGGTTACAACTTAGCTACTTAACTTTGCTTTAAATGTAATTTTGTTCAGGCTTCCTATTACTTTGCTGTAATAAATGTACTGTAATATAATAATTATTGTCGCATTTTTTTCTAAATTTATTTCCATTGCAAGAGGCAGTACTCTGATGAGCTAATTGTGCAGCTCTAAGTTCATGAGTTACTATGATGC